TGCTCTTTGGAAAACTTCATAAATGGTGCCTGTCTTGATTTCAGTAAGTAGTTTGAGCGCTGGGATGACTTTCTTGGGACCCGGCTCATTGCCGTTGGAAAATTGAGGTTGAGAAGCTGACAAGAATGTGCCAAAAGGTCGTGCGCTACAACGAGGAATATAATTTTGATTGATTTTTACTGTAAATTAATAATTTTGTTGGTTTATAAAATGCTACGAACTTATGGAACGACCTAATAAATAAATATGTATGTTAGCTAAATTTTTTTTGAAGGTTAGTTAATGGAGGTGGCACAACCCTAAAACAGTTGTGGTTGCGACACCTTTTTAGGGGTTGTGCCACACCCCATTAATTTACCTTCAAAGCACGCAAATATAAATTGTTGTCAATGCCAAACCTTTTTCTCTATACAGTAGGAATTTTCAACTCCACATCCAATTCCACTCGAAATCGTTCGTGCTAGAGAGCCGTTTTTTCGCACCTATGGAAATGGAAACACATTGGTTATAATGGTTACTTATTGGTTGAATATTGGTTTACGGTAACATTCTAAGTCTGCGCTACAAAAGTTTAAACCTCGTAGTTCTCATAAAAGTGATTTGAGCCTGATTGATCTTTTCTAGTCTGGCAAAGAAAAGATGTTTGATGAGCGTGGCCTTTTGAAATGAGACGTACACCATTTGATGCATCTTTGAGCGCTGATTACAAATCTGTTTTCATTATCTGCTGTGCGCTCGCCCAAAAGAAATTATGAACATTTCTTTTCATAGAAATTTGCACTGTTTTTGCACTGCAGGATTCACCAATGTTCGCTTACGCACTACAAAAGAGCGTACAGATGAAGTAAAGTTTCACGTAAAGCTCAGGAAAACTGTCCCCGATACACCAGAGTCTAAAAAGCCTGTATAATGACGATTTTGACTGCCTAAATCTCGCAAAATCAAAATGGAAAAAAGTCCATTCGTCCAGGGAGTCGCATAGCAGATACTGAACACAGATTTAGAATCAGCGCTCCATGACGCACCTACTGGTACACATCTCATTGCAAAATGCCATGGTCACCAAGTATCCTTCCCTCGTGAGATATTGAAAGCGAAAAATGGGACGAATTTTTGGCTTGCTCTCAAAGGCACCGTCTATCTTTCGGACTTCCATGTTCGGCTTTTCCGGGACCTTCTTAGGTTCCTGATTTCGAATATGAAGTCGAATATCCGCGAAGACCCCGACAATCCTCGTTTCGGAACGGCCATTGAATGGGTGCGCACGGATGGGCACTGAAGCGGAGCGGTGCCGATTTGGGTTCCTCATGCTCTTCGCTATCCCAGAGCGATTTTCTCTTTCCAACAAATCAACGTTTTGCGCCGCGACTTGGGCATTGGCTGAATAGGAGGTCCTACTATCGTAAGGCGCCAACATCTAATTCCATAACTTAGGGTGGACGGTGCCTCTAATTCTATGTTTTGGAGTCTATTTGAAGTAGGACTCCTAATGTGTGAAGTAGTAGTTCTTTGTATTAAGTGCAAAAAGGAGTAGTCAACTCACCTTCAAAATGAAGTTAACACTTCAATATTTGGAAACTCCCTGAAATCCCTGACATGTCCCACAGGGGTTATTAGCAGGGTCAAGCAAGGGTTGTGGCACACGATCGCTGGTTACGACCCCCCCCCCCCCTGATTGCTGTCTTGATAAGACCCCCCCCCTAAACTATATACCTAAGATAGCATTACCAGAGTTGAGAAAGAGGTCAGACAAGTTTTTCGAACCCCCCCCCCCCTTCCATGAAAGCCCTCAAACGACCCCTTCTTCCTCTTCTTCACCTCTGGACCTCAAAGTGTGACATTCTGGAGGACACCATCTTTTTCTAGAGAGTTTCAGATTCCTGAGAGCTGTAGGCCCGATTCTCTGTGCTGCACTTTACAATCACACGTAATTTGACGGCTGATTTTGATCTGAATGGGCATATTGAAAGGGCCATAATTTTCTTAGGGGTGGGGCGTTCGGCTCCAAATTTCCAATGTAGCAAGAAGAAGCTTTGTGCTCAATACTCATATCAGCAATGGAGCGCTTTCTGGATTTTGAAGGCAAGTTAAAGGCAGTGTCCGGGCAAAAACTCGATTTTGAGATTTTGTGCTTATACGGGCCTATTCGCCATGCTGAATCCGAAAATCCACATTGGAAAGCGCGAAAACGGCGAAAAAGGACTCTAACACAGGAAGGAAATCCGCAGGTGGGCGGGGCTTTCCCCAGTGCGATTTCACGCTCCCAGCTCCCGGAGGATTTTCTTGATTCCGCTAGCCGTCCTAACATCGCTACCGGCCAAGTGCGAGTGATCGACTTGAAACCGGAAGCGAGAAGGTCGCTCCGAGAGCTGGGAGCGTGAAATCGCACTGGGGAAAGCCCCGCCCACCTGCGGATTTCCCTCCTGTGTTAGAGCCCTTTTTCGCCGTTTTCGCGCTTTCCAATGTGGATTTTCGGATTCAGCATGGCGAATAGGCCCGTATAAGCACAAAATCTCAAAATCGAGTTTTTGCCCGGACACTGCCTTTAAGGGGGTGCGGCACACCCCCTTAAAAGCTGCGGCAGCCGCAGCATTTAAGGGGGTGTGCCGCACCCCATTAAATATATCAAAAAAAAACATTTTTAGCGGACAGTATTTATGTGAGTCGATAGCCTAAACCTTGTAGATTCCATAGGACTGTTTGGAGCCTAATTTGTCTTCTTAGCTCTAAGTAATATTTGTTGAAAGCACAGCGATCAAAAGCGAAAAATGGGAAAAGCGAGATTTTGGTTGACTTCTAATTCCACAGTTTGCAGGTCTTCTAAAGCGGGATTCCTGAGGTGAACAAAGAAGGAGTAGTGCTTTGTCTTTTGTGCAAAACGGATAGCTCAAAGTTAACCATGATGGAATTTGACCATTTCATTTAGGTAGCCTAATATCTTGAATCTTCAGAATTCGCTCACACTTTGTCTACAGGGGTTAATTGACATGCTAATTATGGATATGATACGAATATTATGTTATCACTATTATCAGATTACCCAACTACGACCTCTTTCCCTTTTGACTCCTCAATACGACCCCCCAGGTGTGGCGTGCCGCACCCCACGCTTGACCCTGGTTATTAGTCATGCTAATCACGAAAATGAAAAGCTCTTATGCTTACCTCTGTACGTACACGATGGTAGGCCAATGTAGGCCATCATTGTGCTAGTATTTTGCGTAATGGGCCTTTCTGACATTTTTAACAAACACCATGCTATCGCTAACATCAGTATCACCTTGTCAACGACCCCCCCCCCCCTCTTTCCTGACCCTTACAAAACAGCTTCCAAGTGTGGCGTGCCCATGCTTGACCCTGTTCATAACTATATATACTATAGTTATATATATACTTAGAATATTTTGAATTGCAAAGCAAGATTTTTGGAAAAAACGGTTTAATGCTATGTTCCCAAAAAAATGTCCACACTTGATTATTGATTTTTTTCTCTCATCCGACAATTCAGCTTTCTTTGAAGCTGGATTGAATTCGAAATTACACTAAGAATCTCTTCGATAACGTAGGATAGCGGTAGTAATTTTGGAGTGGGCTCTGAGCCACCAAAAGCCGCTGTTGTCCTAGAAAGAAACCAGACAAGTTGAAAAGCCCTTCTGCTAGGCTAGTGAATATCCTGATGTTGTGCATGAACTTTGCAGATTACAGGCATGCTTCCTCCATGACTTACTTCAAATGGACTATAACAACTGCTTTTGTTTTTCCAAAGTGTGCAGTTACACCATTAGAAAAGATCAGAAAATTGTAAAAAGTTGTGCAAGAGCATAGGTAATTCTACTACAATATTTTTCAATTTTATTTTCCAAAATTTTTCTTGACGGCATACCTTACAACGGCGCTGCGCTGAAATTTCCTACCTTACGCTGCAGCAACGAAGATTGACCGTAAGTCGTTCGCAAATCTAAGTTTGAGCACGCTCCAGGTAATGAATTGGCGAAAACTAAGGAAAGAGGATATCAACGATCGTACAGTGTGCACACTTTGTCAAATCCCCATATAAAGCAACCATCTTTCAAAACATCTGCTTTTTATATTGGAAGAAAACATCAATGGTACAGTGGTTGAAAATTTTTATCAAAACTTGTATGAAAATTGAAACATTCAAATGGTTGGATTTTCTTACTTCTGTAGCGTATGGAAACAATTTGATTTAAAGGAGTTGAGGACTCAATCGAGCCTTTTGTAAACTAAAGAAAGTCGATCCTGGATGTTCTTGTAAAGCTTCACCATTAACTCTTTTGGATAATCTGTCATCGTATAATTCCCGAGGTTTTCAATTACGCGTATTCTTGACTGTATAGTATGACCCCAATTTCTTCCAAAGTTGTCATAAAGATCGCGATAATGTCTGCAAAGAAAAAAACCATTTTGACCTTGCAACCCTGAGACCACAAATTTCAACTTTATGAGAGCTTTATTTGGTGGTGCACGGATACGTTCATAACCAGGAAAATACAAAACCACATCGTGAATTTCCATAATTATTACCTGAATAAGGGTTTTAGAGCAAGCCTTAATGAACGAAACACTCACACGTCGAGGATCTAACACACATTTAGCTGTATGACCCTTGGGAGCTACAGCTGATGTGTTGCGAAAAACAAGAGTGGGAAGATGATTTTTCAGCGTACGTTCTCCCTCAAAACAGGTATCAACCAGCCTTGTAGCACATTTATTTGTAAGTATGCTTGCCTCATATTTATCTGGTAGCTTTCTAGTGCGTAATATCCATGTCATTCGGAACTGAAGCATACCTACATTTGGTTTGCTTGTCATTGCTTCTCTATAAAAAAGCAAACTTAATAATTACATTGAAATTATTTTATACGTAGTCCTACGTTATATACTCCGCGAGGGTCTGTTTTCCTAGGGCCAAAATTCTTTCGTCCAAATCTGCGAATATAGCATAGCGGGAGTGATGTCTACTTCTTTGAAGACAGTCCTCAAACTCGAAGTTCAGTGATGAAAGCTTCAGTGAACAGCACATATACCACCACTCCGACGAACTGCCAATGCATCATAATTCTATCCTGTTCTTTTTTGAAGTACACCACTTCTATTTCGCCACTCTTCTCATAGTCATCAATGAGCTTAATGTCTTACATCATCAAAACCCTTGGGAAAACTTGACTTACCATACGAGAGTAATCATCGATATCTTTGATGTAAACGTAGAAATGTTGCACGCCTTGCAATTTGTAATGCTCAATCAGCTCTGCCAACATCATCCATTTGGTCTCGTTACCATAAATAGGTGCGAGGCACACCGAAAGCTTGTATATTGGTTCTATAAGTTCAAGATAAAGAAATCACTGAGGTTGTTTTGCAAACTTACTGTCCACTGTTCTATCAAGTACAGGTACTTTATAAACCACTCTATCGTTTTTACTCTCGGTTATTCCCATGTAGAATGCTTCAGGATGTCTACAGCAATGAACAGAAAACTCGGGAAAGACTTCTGACTCTACAGAATAATTGAGCTTATTCCAATCTGCGTCAAAATAATGACAATATGCTTTTTGTCTAAAGGTGACGAGTTAAAAGTGCTCAAAAATGAAGAAATTGCTTACCCATACCAACCATCTGCCTCCAAGGTTACTACAGAGTAATCTGAGTAGGCGTACGCACTAATAAGAGTCAAATTCATTTTTGGTTTTGGGTAATACGCACTCCCTAATCTTGCCTCCTTGGCTTCTTGCAAAACATCATAGAATGAAACACATTCTTTCGCGTGGTTCGGTAAATCGTTGTTTGTGCTCTTTGTCAGTAGTGAAGTGGTATTGCCATATATGAGCGATGCTGGTGAACAGGAGATACATTGAAAAACACAATGCAGTTTTGAAAACCCTTTGAGTCTTTGCATTGAAGCTGTTTCATTGAATTCTAATTGAAAGCCATTGCTCGTGGCTACAGCAGATTTACCTGCGCTCATGATATATCCCTTCTTAGTTGCATCATAATCAACAATAAAGAGCACAACGCCGGTAGCACAAATACTGATGAAGCCGATTAACCATTTGTGCTAAATGCATAAAGTCACATGTGAGTTCATCGAAGAAAGGTAACTTGCCGAAAATAACATCAGTAGATATTATTTTACGTGGTAAAAACGGATATAACAGCGTATAATACCTGCAATATATCCTCAAATTAAAACCTAGAAGTAAATAGTTTGTATGTTGAAATATCTATACATACTTAAGTCTTATCTTTGAGAGCAATGTTGACAATAACTGACAATAACACAATATCAGTGATGGTTGTTAAAACCAAGGAACAAAATAATCATATTTCATCAGTTTTTAGTGTCATATTGAATAATTCTCGAATCAACATGCTATAGACAGATGGTGTCGATAAAGTTGTGATTGACAAGTTACTATTTATCCTTTACTTATTCAGTGCATATCTACAAAATGTGCTGTAGTAGAATCGCCATATAGCGAGATAATGCAGCACATAAGTGTAATGTAAAGATATACAGTAATAAAATAAAATCTTTTTTTTCACATCGCTCGATCTTTCGCGTCAAAATCATGTCAATAAGGTGAAAGGTTCTGCGTACGGTAGGTGAATTTGATTAGGTGGCGATATTGGTATGCGAAGTCTATCATTGCAAAAAGACCTTCCTATGCATTTTTAAAGCTTTGACTGAACGCATAATAGAAAATGGCATGATATTGTGCCCAAAACAACGAAGCATAATGAAATACTCTTATTTGAGTATCAGATGGCATGCTTTGGGGTAGTACCGGTACGGACCAGGAGTCACGATTTATGGTGCGATGCCCAACGCGACGTCAACCATTACAAGAGTCAGCTTCCGTCAGTGCTTTTGGCGCACTGTTTATGGATCCGAGTCATGTATCTGCGTCACCCCCACCCCCCTACCCTGGCGCCGTGCCATTCTAGCGCTGGAGAGTTTTTTTTTGAGGCACAAATTAAGAGCGTGGCGAGCGTTCGCCGCGCACGGTGTGACTTCCTGACCCGTAGCCGGTAGTACCTAGGCAATATAATCAATCATGCGTGTCTAGGCGCCCTTTACAATGCAATTGCCTCTTCCAACCGTTTGAGTATTTAGATGAAGATAGCGTGCGAGATAAAAGCTTTCAACAATGTAAATATGAATACTTGATGTTAATTTTGAACGAGTGCATAGGAGAACCAGTACTTCAAGCAAAAATTCAGTCCACGATTATGAACTGACGGAAGACTTGCAAATGCGTGAAAAAGCTTATGATATGCTTAGCTACAAAAAACATATAGTATTAGGCCGTTCCGAAGGTTCTTTCGTTTCATTTTTGAAACTTCAATTTTTTGCTGTCTTGATGAATTTGCTCATTTGTGGTTTTTCAGGAAGAAGTTTTCCTCCTTGTTGGCAGAAGTTGATAAGTTTTTAGTATAGGCCCTAGAACCCTCATTTCATCTCAGTTGACCTGAGATAAGCTAATCAGAAAAACCAGTAGGCGAACCTATTACCGTCCATCTACCCGAGCTTCAAGATAGTTAGTTGAACAGCCGGAAGACTGTCCGGTCAAGAGTCAGGTGACTTTAACAAAATGCCGCTTAGCCGAGGGCAGAACTTAGGACGAACTGAGGGAGAGAGTGTGCAAAAAGAGAAGAATCAGGCGAAATTTCCTTAAGATGCTTGTAAGTTGGACAATTTAATTAACATTTTGTTGCGGCGCAAAATTCTCAAAACTGCACATTAACGGGGTTCAAACGGAAGAGGATCCATGATTAGCCGACTGCGGCGAGAAACTAAGAAAAAAGGGTTTCTTTTAGCTCATAAATGATGTTTTTTTTTTCAAGAAAAATAGCTTTGTATGGAAAAGTTTCGAAATTATCTTTCTATTTGTCTTTTGAAAATCATAATTTTCAAACCCTTACCATGCCAAAATGCTGTGAATTCTAGTTTTGCTTGTGCCCTTAAGTTATATTGCAATCTTTATCCAAATGGCCTAACGTTTCGGCGCGTTTGCCGTTCTCAAAAGCGTAAAAACGGCGCAAAGCATTCCAAGATACCATGTCATCAAAAGTTTCTGCTAGCTTAGCTAGTTTCGATCTTTTTGTAACTCAATCCGCAAAATTTCTCAAAAACAAAATGAACCATTGTTTATGTCACCGCTATATAAAATGTCCTCCCCGGAAGGATATGACAGTGCGACCAGAAATATGTGACAAAAAAGGCAAGTGAACTATACTCTGGAGGGGAGACAGAGTTTATCTACGAAAGGCAGATATCTACCTACTATCTATTGCTCGCAATGTTACGACCGACAGGAAGACGGCAGCTATTAACAAGCACTCGTACTTTATTTACGTTTGTGCTCTTTGCAAAAATCCAGGAATCTAAAGCTTTTCTAGCCGAGAACTCGTCTCGTGTGTCAAAATTGTGCATTCGTTCTGAAGTCTTTTTCATTATGAATCATTCCTACCACCTACCTGTTGGTGTTAACAAGCTTTTTCATCTTTTGCTTGCCAGATGCTCTTTAACTCGCACGCTTGGTATTTACACTAAGTTCACGCGCATAAGGAGCGGGGGATCATTCTTTTCCAAAATCGACCAGCCTAGACACGCTAAAGACTTTACCAACTAGAAGACCCTACAACGTGCTGTAATTGCATAAGAGGATCGTACGGTATGAAAAAAACTTTTTCGAAATACAGTGAAGCGGCTGAGCGGCTCGCTTGAAAACCAGAAATGTGCACGTTACATGCGTGAAATTAGAGTATTCTAATTTAACGCATATAAGACGCACCTTTTTCTGTTTTGGTAACCACACGGGGAGACGTTCAGCGGAGAAAGTGTGATATCTGTAATCAGCATGTAAGATAACCCTTACGAAGTTTGAGCAAGCTCTACTACAAAAAAATTTTGGGGCCCAGATAGCCGGAATAGAGCTAAACTAATGTTGTAATCGTAATCAGCATGCTCGATTACCCCCCTGTGCCAACTCCCAACCCCGTAGTTCAAACTTTTCAAAAAAATCGATGAAATCGATAAGACTAATGGACAATTTCAACTAATATTGTATTCGTAATCAGCATGCTCGATTACCCCCCCCCCGTGCTCCCAGCCCCGCAGGTCCTTTACAAAAAATCGATAAAATAGATAAAAGTATTCGATAATTTTGAAAACTAATATTGTATTCGTAATCAGCATGCTCGATTACCCCTCCGTGCCAACTCCCAACCCCGTAGGTGAACTCTGCAAAAGAAATCGATAAAAATCGATAAAATCGATATCGATCGATGACGAATAGTAGCCTATGACACCCGCCGGGGCCCGATGTGTATGTGTGCCAAGTTTGGTCCGGATCGGTTCAGAAATGGAATTTTCTATTCGGAACATACGTACATACTGACGGACATACAGACATACAGACATGCAAACAGACATTCAGCTATATATATATATAAGATGTTTACCCACATATACAATGTGTGCATGCAAAAATTCAATGGTTTGTCTAGATCTATTAGAACCTGAAATCCAAAAGAGTGTTTCATAAATGAAACATTTTCCAGAATACGCCAAAAGATCTCCAAATCCGAACTTCCCCAAAAAGTCAAAATTGTTGTGATTTTAAATGATCAGTGTACTCTTTCATTACGTTTGATCGTGGCATTAGCACTCGAACTATTTTAGAGAGGCTGTTTTGTAATCAGCGCACTTGCTTATTCCTTACCGAAATCCAATCCCAGATGACAGGAGAAATATTTTGATACAGGATTGAGGATGATAAATAAAGAATAGCTTGCTTCAATAAGCACAACCATGTACCAACTTACGTCTTTCTAATCCAAAGCTCTGAAAAACGAAGTATTGGATATTCTCACAAACAGCTACTACATTCGTTTTTGAGAAAGCCGGGCGGAGCCGGGTAAGCCAGCTATCCTATATACGTCACGCATCCGGTAAATCTTTCCTCCTCCCCCCCCCCCCGTTTCGCTTAGGCAAGAGCAGCCCCAGGGTGTGTCTCCGTAGAGGTAGGGTTTGTGAGAAAGAAGCTCCCCACCATGTACCCACTGTATCGGGAGAAAATGGCACTCTTGGCAAAATCACTATCTTATATATAAAGCTGAATGTCTGTCTGTATGTATGTCTGTATGTCTGTCTGTATGTCTGTCTGTACGTATGTTCCGAATAGAAAATTCCATTTCTGAACCGATCCGGACCAAACTTGGCACACATACACTTCGGGCCCCGGCGGATGTCATAGGCTACTTTTCGTCATCGATCAATATCGATTTTATCGATTTTTATCGATTTTTTTGCAGAGTTCACCTACGGGGCTGGGAGTTGGCACAGAGGGGTAATCGAGCATGCTGATTACGAATACAATATTAGTTTTCAAAATTATCGATTACTTTTAGGGGGTGAGGAGGGTAAGTGAGCATACTGATTACGAAGACAAAACGAGAATAGGGAGTTGTCATGTAGAAGTGGGTACAGGGAAAGGTTGTACAGGATTAGAGATGGTGATCCTCAACATAGTAAATTGACAGGGACCGGGCGGAGCCGATGCCAGTTAGTACAGAAATAAGCGAAGCTTCGACAATTGCCTTAATCAAGGAAAAATTTTCAATCCATAGAATGTCAGGCAGCGAGTATCTATTTCGGAGCATCATTTTCTTAGTTCA